AAAAGCGTTAAGAAGTATCAAGCCTGGGGGCGCCTGGGTGGCTCAGTCGGTTGGGTGTCAGACTTCAGCTCAGGTCATGATCTCACAGTCCGTGAGTTCGAGCCCCACGTCAGGCTCTGTGCTGACAGCTCAGAGCCTGGAACCTGCTTCGGATTCTGTGTCTCCCTCTCTCTCTGCCCCTTCCCTCCTCATGCTATCTCAAAAATAAATAAAACCATTAAAAAAAAAGAAGTATCAAGCCTGTAAGGGACCATAGAAACCTGTAGCTCAGAACTTAGGAGTCTACCAGTCCTCTTGCCTTTAGAGCAGGCATGAGGGGGACTGCTGTGGCTAACTATCAAAGGATGACTTTCCTGACTAATTTCAAGAATAAAACTATCTATAAGATAATGATATAATGTAAATAATTCAAATATGCTCTATGAGATCTTTCATTCCAACTTCCATTCAGAGAAGCTCCTATAAATCATAACCTGTCACCATGAGAGAACTATAGAAGTTTAAACTCTCACATGCCCTATGGAGTGAATGCACAGGAGAAATAATGGTAGTGAAAAGGACAAAGTATAGAGATAGAAATGGTCACTACAGAATGGGATCTATGAGAATATAAATCGTCTATGAAATCGACAAGAATGGCAAATGGATACCATTCTTAAAAAGTTTTCCTTACTGTAAGCTATCTCTAATACCGAACTCCTAATTACGTAATCTTCACTTATTAATAAAAAGCTTCTTAAAAAAAAGACACTAATTTTATACCTAATTGTAAACTTTGTCAGAAGTCTTGTTTTGTACTTGTTAAGCTGAACATAATTTTTGGATAATGTTTAAACATTACTTTTCATACTTGAAATAAACATTTATTTAAAAAAAAAAAAAAGACACTAATCAATACCTCTAGTTCAACAACCACTACCATTTCACTCCTGTGCTGAATGAACAATTTTGAAAACATGCTTATTTTTTTTTAAATTTTTTTTTCTATGCTTATTTATTTTTGAGAATGACAGGGAGCGCAAGCGGGGAAGGGGAAGAAGAGAGGAGGAACAGAAGATCTGAGGCTCATGCTGACAGCAGTGAGCCCAATGTGGGGCTCGAACTCATGAACCATGAGGTCATGACCTGAGCTGAAGTCGGACACTTAACCAACTGAGCCACTCGGGTGCCCCTGAATAAGCAATTTTAATACCAGTCCCCACAGCAACCCCAGACTGGGCTTTTGGGAACAGAAATAGTACCTGATTTGGCTGAGGCTTTAGCTTGAGCCTTAGCTGCCACAGGTATTGTCTTTGGCTTCTGGTTCTTTGGTGCCTCATCTTCTGAGCTTGAGTCTGAATCAGAATCAGAGCTCTTGGCCTTCTCAGGAGGAGCTTTGACTGCCTTGGGTTGTGGCTTTACTCCCTTCTGTGAGAAAACACACAATAAGGGGGAGAATCAGCAAACTTCTTGTACCCAAAGTACATCCTAAGGTAGAAACCATCCTAGACTATTTTTTAGGGGCTAACTAACAGAACAATAAAAGCAAGGGGAAGTTAAACAAGAAAGCATCTGGGAGTGGCTGGCTGGTTTAGTTGGTAGAGCATGCAACTCTTGATCTCAGGATCATGGGTTCGAGCACCATGTGTGGTACAGAGTTTACTTAGAGAAAGACAGAAACAGAAAAAAAAGAAAGACAGAAAGCAAGCAAGCATCTGAAAAGAGCACCAAACTCTTCATAAGAAACAAAAATATCAGCCCTGTCCCTGCCATTCCCTACTTAGAGCTCCCAACACCTACCTACAAAACAGACTCTTACTCTTGGGAGTCTTAGTATCCCAGAGAAACCTAATATCACCTGGGAAAACAAAACGGGTTCCTCTAGATTAAGAGTACAATTTCAACCTCGCATATCCTTTCCAAACTTCATATTTCTATCATCTCTCTCAAAGTCCTCAGATTTTCTTCTCCATGGTCATTTGTTATATACCACTGCCATCCCTTGGTTCCAAGCTATAAGCCAGGATTTCAGGTTTTTTCTAATTCCTTAAGCAACCTCTTTCCTCCCCCAAGTTGCAAACCTGAACAGGCTTTTTCTTCTTGTCCTCCTCCTCCTCATCACTGGATTCTTCACTGCTGCTGCTCTCTGTTGTTTCAGCCGAAGCCTTTCCACCATGCTGAGGCAGACTGGCCCGCTTGGCAGGTACAACTGAACAAAAGCACAGACCCCAGTGAAAATCAGCCATGGGTACTGGCAGGCTACAAATCCCTTTCTGGGAACCACTAACCCCAACTACCTGCCCACCCTTACCAGCTTTCTTAGCTGGAGGCCCTTGGGTTTCTTCCTCCTCACTGCTGTCCTCACTGCTGTCACTGGATGAAGTCTTCTTCTTAGCCTTCTTAGTCACTGGTCCGTTTACCTGTAACTTCCGCTTTGGGGCCTTGGTGGACCTGCTGAAGTAGATGAGGCTAACCTTTGAGGGCTCAGGACCTTCTCACACCAAGGAACACAGCCCGACCCCTTGGGGGGAAAAATAGCCACAGTGGTACAGGGAAGACTTACTTGAGCCAGAAGCTGTAGATGTCCAAGAGGGAAGAGGCGTTGGCGTCCTGTTGGGTCTAGAGAAGAAAAAAGAAAGGTCAATAAGAAAATTTTATCCTGGTTGTTCTAGGGGAAATTAGATCTTATTTTATTCTCTCATTAAAAGTAGCCAGTTTTATATCTGCTACATTTGCTGTAAATGTTACACCTTTGGAAGACTTCTCCGACTTGCTTAAATTAAGAGAACAATAGCCTGTTTATGTACTCCCCCAATTTTTGACATCAAAAGTTTGGGTTACTCCTGTATATAGTTTTTGGCACCATCTATTCCCAGTTCAGTCCTATTTATCACAGTTTTTAAGAAAATGTGCATTCCCTTTATTTTAGCAATGCATTGCCTAGAAATGTATCCTTACCCATGAAACAAGAACACAAACATTAATACGAGAGTGTTTGCTGCAATGTGGTTTATAATACCAAATCACTGGAACCCAGCTTCCAAAACTGGTTAAAAAGCTAAGCTATATACTCAATACAAAATTCCATTCAGCTATTAATTACAGTGATATAGATTATTAGTTGATGCAACAAAAAAACATAATGGCAGGACATTACAGTATCAATAAGAGTATAGGCTCAGAATCAGATGAGTACAGGTATGAAACTCACCTCTATCTGTTACTACTGTGTGACTCTGAGCAGATTATTTAATCTTTCTGAGACTGTTTTCTTCACTATAACATGAAGATAATACTATACATCTTATTAAGTGGTTTAGAGAATTAGAGATAGCACACATAAAGGACTTAGTATCTGGAAACACCATGTAGCACTTAGTAAGCCATCCAACAAGGATTAGTTTTTGTCACATAAAAGAATCCTGATTCTCAAAGGCCCAATTCCACCCAGCCCCTTGTGGAAACACTTTCTGCAGCCTCCCTAACAGTCAATTCAAAAACTGTTCCAATATGAGGGGTGCCTGGGTGGCTCAGTCGGTTAAGCATCAGACTTCAGCTCAGGTCATGATCTCACAGTCTGTGAGTCCAAGCCCTGCATCGGGCTCTGTGCTGACAGCTCAAAGCCTGGAGCCTGCTTCAGATTCTTTGTCTTCCTCTCTTTCTGCCCCTCCCCCACGCTCTCACACTCTCCCAAAAATAAACACTAAAAAAATAAAATAAAATAAATTTTTTAAAAGTTCCAATATGAAAGCAGTTGTAGGAGATCACATGGCAGGCTGTCCCAGCTTAAAGAAGTCATTTCTAAAGCTGATTTGGTTCTGTTCTTGTGCAGCCTGATTCTGCCACAAAGAAACCTATCTTCTTAGTCAAAGGCTAAAAACACTATCAAAGACTACTACACTCTACTCTCATGTTTGCTCTTCTTGAAAGGGAGATTCCAAACCTCTCACCTCCCTAGCCACCTTCTCTTTACATGTGTTTAAAACATCTTTAATTAATATAACTATCATAACAGCTTTCGCTCATTGATGCTTCCTGAGCATCAGGCACCTAGACTGTCACTTCATATTTATGTTACTAAAATTCACAAAAATCCTATAAAGTGGATGATGACATTCCCCATAGGAATAGAAACAGAATCAGAGAGATTGGGCAAGCTGCTCAGGTTATACATCCTAAAAAGTGACAGAGCCTGGTCCCAAATCTAAATGTGCCTGATTCCACAAGTCGAAGATCCAAGACCACTGCTTGCTAGGGCTTTGATGCCTTTGATGCCATCTTATTTTGTTCTTTACTAACGAAAAATCCCATCCTTCATTTATATATAAAAGCAATTTTATCATTGAGTCCCGGGTAAATTCTGAGAGTTATGGTCAAGTCACGCTTTGCATCAACCAGCGTAAAACCCAAAGGAGAAACCAAGAGCCCCCAATGCCTCCGGCAGGACACCACGCTCCCTCCTCGCCGCACTCCGCCAGCCACGTGACCTGGGCCACGAGGATCCCACGCTGCTGTCGTTGCACCGCTCACCAGAAAAAAGCAAGACTCTGCGCTATCTACTGAGATCTCGTGGGAGACCAGGTGCGGAGACTCTAGGCTCTAGGCTCTCGGCTCACCGCCAGGAGCTCAGCACAAAGGGTCCGCAGATACTGCACTGGCAGACCCCAGAGACCTCCGTACCCGGAAACCTGAACCTGTCAGGGCCCTAAGTCCTGTGGTCCTCCCACCCCAGCCTTTGCCCCAAGCCCGCACTCACAGCGCCTGTTGCCTTGGCGAATTTATTGGCCACCTCCGACAGCTGGTTATCGCGCAAAAAGCCGAGCACGAGCGGATACAGGTCGCTGGGAACCACGCGGCGCAAGCCGGCGTCCGCCATCCTCCGGGCAATACGCGTCACTACCGTTGCTGACGCGCGCAACGCAGGAACTCGGGAACCCGGCGGAACGACGGCGGATCCGTTGTGACGTCATCGCGCGGCGCGGGGGCACAGCGGAAGGGGCGGGCACTCCCCACAGGGCAGTTCCGCCTCCACTTTGGAGGCAGGATCGAGGCGAAATCTGTAAGGTCTTTCCGGTGCCACAAGTGTCGCCATCTTGGTAAGGGCGGAGCCCTTCGTCCGCCACCTTGTGAAGGCGGAGCCCTGACGTCACGTGTCCCGCCCTCGGTAGTGGCGGGAAATCTCCAGCCTTCCCGCGCTCTGCTAGAGCCCCTTTTTTTCAGAGCTGCGGTTTCCGGAGCCGCAGCTGGGATTCGCATTCCAGAGTGAGCCGGGAGGCTTGAGCGGTCCTTGGACTCTCTAGACTAGGGTCACAGGCTCTCCCAATCACTACCGTTCGCACGGCCAGAGAATTCCCACCCTTCATCTTCCCTGTCTCCACTAAGCAGAAGAGGCCGTTAGATACCACCCCAGCCCCTGTACTCCCACCTCAAATACAGAGGATCCTTCATTTTATCCATGGTAATAGAGGGACGATTCCCCAAAAATGCCCCTACCTCATGATTTGCCCATGAGACAACCCCTTCCTCTCTTACATATTCATTCAGCATTAGGTCAGCTCCATGAAATGTAAAGCCATTGCACCAACCCTGAGCAATACAGCAGCAGCAATCTCTTCAAATCTATAATCCTGGAAATAATCCTCCTACCTCCGAGTCACAGTTCACACCTGAACTCTCCCTGTGGGAGAACTAGAAAACCCTCCCAAGTGTCTGTCATGATATTCAAAAATCAATGCCCAGGCCTGCCAAGTTAATTCCAAGTTTTATCACATTTCAGTTCACATTAGCAGACATCAATCCCTTTATCCACTACCCTTTGACTACTTCCCATTAATAAACCTTCTGAAGGGTAAGGACCCACTTTCTCAGGGGACCCATGTCTCCTTTGCTTTTCTCAAAATAGGCACTCTGCTAACAGATATAACTCCTACAACTCCCTCTTTCCCAGAGGTCTGTCCACATGCATGTGTTCTTCTGAGTACCTCTTGTGTACCAAGCGTGCTCAAGCTAAAATGGTACATGTACACAGAAGTTTCTGTTTAGAGATCCTTCATTTGGAACAACTGCAAACTTCCTCCAGGTTCTTGATGGTGAAATCCCTTCCTTGAGACTACAGCATCAGCATCCCTTTGTTTGAAATGCAGAATCTCAGGCTCCACCCCAGAAGTCAGAATCTACATTCTGAAGAGATCCCTTTTAAAGTTTGAGAAACACTGCCCTAGAAGACTGATTTCACAGACAACACAACCTGAGGAGACAAGTATCAAGTCCAATAGGATTTTGCATCAAACCAAAGAGGGGTCCTAGGAACTAAATGGAGGTAAGCACGTCCCTGATTGTATTCAGACTGGAAAAGTGAGTATGTCTGGCACTAGCACCATTGAAAGAAGCACAACAGCACTTGGAAATTGTTTGTAGTTCGTGTTTATTGGTCTGCATAGTGCCTTAGAACTTCCAAACACAGGGGAACCCCTCAGCCCCATCTTAACATAGGAATGAGTTAACTTGTTTCAATGCCTGTTATAAAAAAACAAATAACCCTTCAAAAATCTGATTTAACACATTTTTTATTTCACTTTTTTCCATTTCTTTATAAAACAGTCATCTCACTAGCAGCTCTCTCCCCTAAATTGGGGGAGGGGAGGGTGGAGGAGGTTGGACACCTCCAAAGAAAGAGGGAAGGGGGAGAAGGGCCCAGGGTTACCTCCTGAGGTTCTTCTGGGCCTGTTTCAACAATGTGTCAAAGTCAAGAGAATCAAATTTGCTCTTTACAGGAGCAGGGTCAAAGTCTTCCCGGTTGGAGTCTATAAAAATAGAGACAGACATCAAGGTCTCTGACAATACTTCCCAATCACAGGGTCCTCAAATGGCCAGCCTCCTCCCACCCCAATAATGGATGGAATAACATCAATCACCCTGGTTTTAAGTAAATAAGACTAAAGAGCCCCCATTTCTCCTCTCATCCCACCCCCTTTGTGTTCTTTGTGTGTCACATAGAGACAAGTCTACCTAGCTCCACTCTCAAAAGGCTGGAAACCCTTCTGGGGACAATATGAAGTATACCAAAGCCTCGGGGTCTCCTCCACTCACCAAGATCAGAATAGCTTCTCTTGCAGAACTGCCTGCGGCCCCCAAAGCAGAGATCAAAGGGCTGCTCATCTGCCTGCCTTAGCTTGTGGCCACTCTCGATGGCTGCAAATGCCTCTTCAGCATAGCGGTAAGTGACGAAGCCGTAGTTGTCACTGGTGAGGAAGGTGAGGCAGAGGCTGGGATGGCTATTTAGGCACTTGCCAAGGAGAAGAGATACTTCCCAGGGTAGAGAGAGACTCGGGTAGTTCTTCTTCCCCAAATGGCCAACCCTCTGACTAGGAGTGAAGGTGTCATCCTACATTGCCTAACACACCAAAGGAAGGAAGGGGGAAAGACAAAGCAGCATCAAGGTAGACAAATGGGGTGGAAAGGACATTCTGACCTATAGGTCCAACCTTACCCTTGGACACGGAAGTGGATAGTGCACTCCTCAATCTCTCCAAAAACAGAGAACCTCTGTTTCAATTCTGACCGAGTCATGCGGCCAGGTATCTTCCCAATGAAGACCACTCTTCTCTCCTCCTATGTTGAGACAAGGAAAATTGACACACCATGAGCCAAGGCCACTGCTGCAGAAGGCTCTCCAAGCTCATGGCTCAGGGGCAAGCCCCATCCTCCCAGGACCTATTGCTCTACTCACTATTGCACGCTCCTTCTGCAGCACTCTCTGCCTTTGGTAATGGTCATGTGAACGATAAGAGCTGTACCTGACATGAAAAGAAGGTGCCATCAGCCCTCCAGACATTAGACAACTCAAGTCTCAGAACGCTCAAATTTGGGATTTGCATCCCAGATACAGACTCCCTGATCACACACTCACCTCCGCCTCCTGTCACTTCTTCGGCGGGGGGATGGGGAGCGGGACCGGCTTCGGGAACTGGATGACGAAGATGAGGAAGATGAGGAAGATGAGGAAGATGAGGAGGAGGACGAGGAAGAGCATCTTCGGGAACGTCCAGAAGAACTGCAACTGGATCTAGAGAATAAAGAGGCACGCAGGAATGCTGGGAGTGGTACAGATATATTCTGCTTACCTCACCTTGGCCCCAACCTTGCCTCCCTGTCCGGAAGCTCAGGACCAAAGGCAAAACAGAGGAAAAAAGATCTAGAAGAACTCCACAGATGACCAAACTGAACCCTCATGAATTTTAGGCGTTTTTGGAATGTTTTAGAGTGTTCTCACATAGATCATAGTTATTTTCAACTATGCAATTAACAACAAAAACGTTTAACAAGTCAAAGAAAAATAAATGGAGACTTGGGAATAAAGGGCTGGGCCCTAGGTCTAGCTGGGGATGCCAGGCCTGGGTCTCTGGGTTCCTGCTCCCCTAACATGTCTCATAGCAGTACTGTGACCAGGATGTAAAAAGGAGGTGACTTGCTAGACATGGAGTAGAGGTCATTTCTTAAGAGGTCATTCTGGCTCAGGGGCACCTGGGTGGCTCAGACGGTTAAGCGTCCCACTTCAGCCAGGTCATGATCTCACGGTTAGTGAGGCTGAGCGCCACATTGGGCTCTGTGCTGACAGCTCAGAGCCTGGAACCTGTTTTGGATTCTGTGTCTCCCTCTCTCTGCCCCTCCCCAACTCGTGCTCTGTCTTGGCTCTCAGAAAATGAATAAACATTAAAAAAATTTTTTTAAAAAAGAGATTATTCTGGTTTAAAAACAAAAAATTACTCATGGATTAAGTAGGAAAATCTTGGTCTTTAACTGAGAAAAAGGTATTGCCAGAAAACGTATGAGGCCACAGTGACAACCAAAGGAACTGCCCAGACTCTTTCCTGGACAGATGATTAGAAGAGCTGCCATTAACAAGCTACTTATCCCACCTTCCAATTTCCCACAAGAAAAGAGCAGAAGTGAGGACTGATAAAGTATGTAAAGGATCAAACACGGGCGAGACGCAAGCCTAATGGTCTCCCCAAGGCAGGGGTCAAGGAAGCAGCAGACCTCGGTGATCCCCAAACTCAAACAGGGTATAGAAGCTAAATTCTCACAGCTTGCCTCCTTCAATAATCCAGGAAAGGGGGAGAAGACAAAAGCCAAGGACAGAAGTAGAAGCCTTAATGCCTGAAAGCATCAAGCTCAATATGCAAAAGCTTTCTAAATAAACCAGAGGAGAGCCCATGGACTTCCTAAATGAAGAGGACCTAACAGGCCATCAGAGCTCACCTTCGCCACCTCTTGTGTGGGGGGGAGAGGGACCGGGACCGGGACCGGGATGAGGAAGACGACGATGAGGATGAGGAGGAAGATGCTTCGCTGGTCCGGTTGGACCCAGAGCTGATAGAACGGCTGCTGCGGCCACGGCAGCCCTGCCAGCCCCGGCTTGGGGGGCTGGCCGACCTGCAGGCTTTTCGGTAACAGCGCACCGACCGCTGCTTGGCTGAGGGCTCAGGGGGAGTCCTAGTGTTCATGTCATTCCGGCAAGGTGAGGCCTCAGGGGAGAGCAAGGCGGATGGGGCAAGGCAAGTTGCTGGGGCATCTGCCTGCTCACTGCTAGTCCTGTGATCAAGTGGCTCCTGGGAGGCAGCTGTGCGTGGGGGCAGGGGGGCGGCCAGGCCCAGGGACAAGACGGGTTTGATGGTGATGTCCTGATGGCGTTTGACGTTCCATCGGGAGCCCACCTCTGGAATGACTAAGGCAGGCGTCTTTTTGGGGGGAGTCCTGCTCCGGACACAATAGTCATGGTCCCCAGAGCCCACATGGACTGGACTAGGGCCATGGACCCCTTCTTGGAGGCAGGCTGCAGCTGGATGTTTGGCCTCTGTAACTCCTTCAGGCTTCAGGGTTCCCTCCTGGGCGGTGGACTTAGGAGATTTGGCTTTGGCCAGCAGTGAAACAGCAGCCAGGGGCTTCCATAATTGGTGGGGAGGGGTGGCTGGTGGGGTGAGCCCTGTGAGGGGAGGGAGGATGGAGATAGCAGGATGAGATCCGATTCTACACTTCCAGGGGCTCCAGAGACCCCTACCTCATGTCACAAAGTACACCAAAGGTCAACAGCCCAACTTCTCCCACTATTGCAACTATTCCTTCCCCCAAGTTCCCCATCTTGGGGACCAAGCAATATAAACCCAGACAGCTAGCGTCCTCCTGAACCCCTCAGCCTCTCACTGCCCAAACCTAGTTAGTGACCAGCTCCTATATGGTCTACCTCTCCATTCTTAGACCCAGCCCTCCCCCTACACTGCCTGGGCTGCATCTGCCTGGACTCCTGTAATCACCTTCCAATGATCTCCTGCCTGGGGCTTCATGCCCATCCACCTGTTTTCTACATTCCTGCTACAGGGAACACCCCATAACCAATTGCTTCTTCAATGCAAAGATAAAGTCCAAACAGCTTAACATGGCATTCAAAGTTCCCTTCATCTGACTTCCTACTTAACACTTCAGCTTTATCTCTTGCTTTAGTTCTGCCCACCACCCTCATCAGCCACTACACTCCAGTCAAATCAAACAACTCATAATTCCCCAAAACATACCAGGCTGGTTTCATTTCTTCAGTTCTCCAGCAGCTCCATCTCCCCAGAATGCCCCATCCCCTAAATCTAATTGGTATTAGTGATCTTCTCAAACCTCTGCCTCAGGGATAACACCAACTGTACATGACCCTCCCCTGACTGACCCATTTCAGATCCCACTATAAACCACAAAGGCTCCTTTAACATACGATCTCTGATACTCAACATGCTCGTTTATACATCTGCTCCCTGGACTGTGAGAATCTCAAGGATGAGGATCAGATCTCTGTATTCCCAACAACTACACACACCCAGTGCAGGGCAGACTCTACAAACATTCGCTGCATAAACTAATCAAAGGCAGAATTCCCCACCCTGAACCCACCTGCCACGTTGGCCAGTTCTGGGGCTTGTAACCGGTCTAGGGGCCTCTTCTCCTGGGGAGTGTCAACGTTGCTGGCGGGGGAAAAGGGAAAGCCTGGTTCATTGCCTCCTCAACATCTTGTATATGTTTTCCTCATAAAGCAACGGGAGAGGGGTGTGTGCAGAGAAGAATAGGATACACAAACTGCCCCTATCATTCTCCTCCAGCACAAATGCGATCTTACTGACTGAATGTAGTTTGGGTCTCAGCTCAGCTCTGTCCAATTCTAGGAGGCAGGCTGGCTATGACCTTAAATACCCCCCACCTCCTTTAAGCCAGGAGACTTGCCTGCCTAGCTCAAACCAACCCAAAATCAACATGGATGGGAATATGCTTGGCAGAACAGGATAGGGTACTATGAACATGAAAAATGAAAAAAGGCCTCTCAGTGCTGGAAGACTGAGGAACAAGGAGGTCCAGGGTACTTCGTCCAAGGAGTCAGGAGAGCCCTAGCCACCAACATCTTACCCCACTTGATCTTTTATCATCACTAGTGTTGAGCAAGCTTAGCACTTGATAAAAGGAAGGAAAGAAATCCCCAAAGGCACAATTTGCCAGAAGACAAAAGGCAACTCCAGGACATCTGGAATTCCAGACTGGAATCAGCCAGAGGATGGTACACACCCTCCTACCTACCACCCAAGACAGTGCCCAGTAGTGATGAGCTGAGGAGGGGAGGGGGAAACAGGGAAAGACTCTAAAGCTGACTAAAAGCCCTGTAACAGAGGCATCCAGTTGACAGTCCTGAAGCACCGGCCGGCTGCTGACCAACAGCTGTAGGGTAACTCGCTCATATGTCTCCATACTCACCCTGAGTTTCCTACAGCCAAGCTGTCAGCAGGAGCCGGGGGAGGGCACTCCTTTTTGGCTGCAAAGAAACCAAATTAGTTAAAAGGCCAACCAGATGTTCCAGATTGAGGAGGCACAGAAGGGCTGGCTCTGAGACCCAAAGAAGAAAAATCCACTTTGTGTACATATTTCACTGGACTCTCCCCAGAGAGATCCATTCTCTTCTAGTAGGTACCCAGGTACTATTTTTAATCATGTTTCTGCTCAGAAATATCTGTTAACTTCCCAGTGAATCTGAGATAGAGTCCAAACTTCTAAGA